TGGGCCCAGGGCGCGCTGCGGGCCTGCCGAGCGGCGCAAGGGCGGCGCCGAGGTCCCTACAGAAAGAACACACGGGCCGTGAGCGGGAGGCGACACGCCAGCAGCGGTGCCGCGCCCCAGCCTCCCTCCTCCGGCCCCCGCGATACCGCGGCCCTGGACGCCTCCGGGGTTCCGAGCGGAAACAGGAAAGAGGCAGCTGAGCCGCCCCGCCCAGGCCGGGCGGAGTGGGGCATCAGAGCCCGCCTGCGGCGGGGATAGGACGGACCCGCGGCGTTCCGCCCTCCCGAGAGCTGCGCGGTGCCGCCCCACGGGCACCGGCCAGGGGAGGAACGGAGTGCGGAGGAGGGAGTCATCACTGCTTTGGGAAAAGGCTTTACGCTGGGAAAAAGGCATTCCAGAGGTACCCGGATGGGTAGTTCACGTTTGTGGAGTAGTCTTTAGAGGCTGGAGTGCCGCTCGCCGCCAGGGAAGGCTGGCAGCGGCCGGTCGGGACGGGGTACGCTCCGAGAACGGCGGTGTGCTGCCGCTCGGGTGCGCGGCACGGTGGGATCAGACCGGAGGGAACTTGTGCCAGTACCTCGGCGGTGTACCCCAAATATGTCGTGCATCTTTTGAGAGCCCTGACCCTCCGGCGGGCGCACAGTGCTGTCCTCGGGGGTACCAGCCATGCATGAGCTGCTGTGGCTGCTGCGCTGATCCCCACTGAACTCACCTCAGCGAAAATAATTCGGTTGATCTCCGAATATTCTGAGCCTTTAATGTGCTCATACTGAAAATTCAATCAAATTCAAAAGTCTCGTATTTGCCTTTGTGTGTTGCACCAAGTCTTCTTCCTTTCACACATACACTGATGTGAATAAAAACGTTGTTACGTTTTCGAAGCAAGAAAAAGGAACTTATTCGCTTAGTATATGAGAGGATCTTGCAGTCACCCAAATTGTATTGAACAATTCTGGAGTTCCTTTCTCTGTAATGTACTAACAAATGCCACCGGGGCATTCTGGTTTTGTAAATCTTTTCTTTACATCAATATTTATATTATTTAAAGGGCAACAAACAGTTAAATAAAAATATATTTTGTCAATGAGTCATTGACAAGTGTCATGAAAGAGATGCACCACCACAACATGAAATCATAAAATTGCTTTAGTGTCAGTATGTTGAATGCAGTTCTGTGATATATGCAAAATTACATTATTGCATTCTTGTTCAAAACCTGTCTGTTGTGTTCTGGCTCTTGTAATATCTTTTGAGGATAGGATAGGATAGGATAGGATAGGATAGGATAGGATAGGATAGGATA